GAGAAGTCTCACTGACCGTGAGAGTCCCTGCCTCCTGAGTGCCCGGGCACTGTTTCTCTGTGGTCTTCTAAACTCAGGCTCATGAAAGGCTGAACAGCTTCACTCACTTTTTCAAAGGCAGGGAGATAGCGATCTGTTGTTTTCTGTTTGAGCAAGGCAAGCTGGGCATCTTGTTCCTCGCGGGGATGGACGAATAGCATAATAAACATTTCATTCCAGTCCGCCATGCCTTCTACATACATGTCAATCCTGAGGGACAGAAACAGCCTCACTGTCAAATGCCTCCTGCTTTAGACGTTGTGGTTTAAAACTTGAAGGGAACAGAATATCAGCTGGTGGAAAGGAATTCATCTGCAGTAGGAACGTCTTATATGTCAGTCAATTTGATATGATTTTTACACATACAAACATTTATTTATTTTATTTATTATTATTATTTTTTTAGAGACAGAGTCTCATTTTGTCACCCTTGGTAGAGTGCTGTGACATCACAGCTCACAGTAACCTCCAACTCCTGGGCTTAGGTGATTCTCTTGCCTCAGCCTCCCGAGTGGCTGGGACTACAGGCTCCCACCACAGTACCCAGCTATTTTTTGTTGCAGTTTGGCCGGGGCCAGGTTTGAACCCGCCATCCTCGCATATGGGGCAGGTGCCCTACCCATTGAGCCACAGGCGCCGCCCCATACAAACATTTATCATATAAAACCTTAATTGGTGTAAACACATTTCTAACATTTTTGTTATGATGTGCCCAAACACAAGTTTAAAGAGCATCAGTGACTTGTCCCAAGTCACAGTCATGAGAAAAACTGATGGATTCGCTGCAAGTAACAACTGACATGACACTCGAGTTGCCATTTCTCTTGCTGCTTGTTCTGTTCTGTGATTTGGTGGCCAGGGACCCGTGGCCTCAGTGACCTTCAGAGCATCCTGGGCACACAAATCTCCGTCACAGTCCTCTGCCTCTGTATCACTTTGCCCGTTTTTATGCACAATATTAGCTGCTCTTCAACTATTCCATAAACCATGCTCCCACTGCCCCCCAGGGGCTGCTGCCCGGCTCTAGCCACGTCTGCGTTTCTCCAGACCCAACCTAAATATGCCCACCATTCTGTACATACTTACAACACTGTGAAACTAGGAGACCTTCTTCTCTTTTCTGTCAAACTGGGCTTTCTGCAATACCTTTTAAAATAACAATTCACTGACATATATTCACATACTATAATTGTGGGTATACTATTTTGTGTGTTTTGGTACATTTACAGAATTTAGCACATATTATAAGATTCTATCTAATCGCTCAACCCTGAAAAGAAAATCTGTACTGATGGTCAGTGTTCTTCTTGTCCCTCCAAACCCCACTCTTCTAGCCCGGGGCAACCATTAATTTACTTTCTGCCTCTATAGGTTTGAATATTCTGGCCATTTCATGTAGAAAAAATCCTAGAAAATGTGGCCTCCTATGTCTGGTTTATTTTATGCAACGAGATGTCTGTAAGGTCAACCATGTCGAGCAAACATCAGAACTTCATTCATCCCTGATCACGGCCAAATAATTCCCTGTGCACGCCCTTGGCACACTTTGTGTCTCCAGTCAACTGCTGGTGGATAGTGAGCTGTTTACACTTTTTTAGCTTCATCAATATTGCTGTTATTTGAGTTACATATCTCTTATTAAATGCATATGGGTCATATACCTAGCAGAGAAATTGCTGGGTCACCGGTAACCCTGTGTTCAACTTTGTGAGGAAAGGTGAGAGATTCCAATCAGATTTTCTTTTGAGTCATGAAGTCTCATCACAGCAGGGAGCAGAACCCAGGGTGTTGGTGACAGTGAGTACATCTGGCTGCTTCGGGCTTGAATTGAAACATTAACTCCAAACCAGCTTCTTAAGGACCAGGCTCCACTAACCAATTGTCAAGTGGATCAGGCCACATAACTGGTTGATAACCCAGGTGCCTGGTCATCGTTCTTGTAATTTCTGAAACTTAACATTTGGTTCCTTTGGGTCACTTGTTCCCCAAGCTTTCATCCACACACACTCAAACACCCTGTCCTTTGTCCCTAGCTACTGGCTGGAACTCAGCTCCTAAAGACCTGAACTCCTAGATCATGATTCCACCGCCCTCCTGAGTTCATGGCTCATGAGACTTTGGAAACCTCTGTCATGGAGCTACATAGGGGGCTGCATCCTGTTCTATGTCACACTTGCCTGACCCCTCCCACATTACTCTTCCCCCACATCCACAGGACTCTGCCATCCTGCTCCTCAACACACAGGGCCAGGACCCAGCCTGCTGCTGTCCAGATCCCCTGCTCTGTCCTGGGCCATCTGGTGGTGTAAGGACAGAAACTGTACCTACAGGGCTCTCTCCTTTATGTCTTTCCCGTAGAGGTTGTGTTTGCTGGCGATGTAGTTGAGAATGGCTCTCGTCTGCACCAGCTTCATCCCGTCAATCTCCACCATGGGCACTTGCTGGAACATCAAACTCCCATCTTTAGAGAAAAGAAAAGAAAAAGGAGAGGGAGATGTCTGCAGGCCCCACTCTTTTTACAATGAAAATACATTTGGTTCAGTGAATGAAGATTAAAAAAATAAAATGAAAGTTATTGTCTTAAAACTTTTCAACTGAAAGTGCATTTTGGTTTTAGTTTCTTATAGTCCTTCTTTTTCTTATCAATCTCTATTTTTCTTTTTAACTTTTTTTGTTTCCTACCTAAATAAACAGTAGGTCCCCCATGTTTTTGTATGTCGATAAATCTTCATGGATATTTTAGGAACAAGTTGGGAATGGCTATGACAGGGTGGCCTATGACATTGTCATATAAAATGGGAAGTCCCCAAATAAGTCCCATGGTGTTCATGATATTTAAGGTAGGTCTAAGAGAATTTTTTTTTTTTTGAGACGAGTCTCACTTTGTCACCCTCAGTAGAGTGCCATGCATCACAGCTCATAGCAACCTCCAACTCTTGGGCTTAAGTGATTCTCTTGCTTCACCTTCCCAAATAGCCTCCTGCCACAACGCCTGGCTATTTTTAGAGACGGGGGTCTCCCTCTTGCTCAGGCTGGTGTCGAACCTGTAAGCTCAAGCAGTCCACCTGCCTCGACCTCTCAAAGTGCTGGGATTTAAGGCACAAGCCACTGCGCCTGGCTGTAAGAGAAATTTCTATGTATAGTCTCCTTTCTGTGCTCTTCAAAGCCAATATTATGGCCAGGATGTCACTTTGTCAATGTGGTAAGAGTAAAGAACTCAGATATGTTTACTCAAGACCTCAAGACCTGTATGTTTCTCTAATGCACATCCTTGAGGGTCCTCACATGGGGAGAGTCGTGTAGGATCCTGAGCTGATCCCAGCTCACTCATGGTACAGAATGCATGAGACAGAGAGAGGACATCTTAGAGCCCCGGGGGTGATTCTTTTAGCAAATACTCACAGAGGTCTGGCTCTTTTCAGTCCCCCCAGGGTTGCCAGACCTGTTCAAGGAGCCCTTCCCCCTTCCATATGAACCACTTTTCTCCCTCTCTACCATCCCCAACCGCCACCCCAGCCTCACACACAGGCATTGGCCACATACCTTCTACTAGTTACCCTCATGGAGGCATTTAGTGCTTGTTCTTACCATTCCTTAACTTATCCAAATCTTCTGGCGATTGTAAAAATATCTCTTCGAACTAGAAACAAAAATAGTAAATGGCTCTTATTAGATCACCCCAGAGCATGATAGACTTTTAACTTGCATGGCCCCTGTCCAGGACATAATGTGGTGAAAGTGAGATTTCTCAGATTTGCAGGTACATGGATTAATCTGGTCATGAGCATTTGGAAATTTAGATCAGACCCATCAAGGTCTATGTCATGGCACACAGCTGCCGCTTCTCGTATTTCACTTGGCCTCCACCCTGACCTCACCAATGTCCACGACTCAGCCATGATTTAGAAGTAGATGTCACTGGAAGGAAGGAACTGACATGTTATTTTAGTTAAAATGATGCAACATGTCAGGAAGGCCTATTTCTTCCAAGAGAGATCAGAACGGACCCTGTGTGTGCCAGCATGGAGCGTGCCCAAGGCCAACAGCCATCTAAGCTTCTGCCACCAGGGTCTCCACTGTAATTTCTAACACTGTTTCTCCTTTCATAGTTTAAAAGGGCTTCTTAACCTAGAAAAGGTTCGGAATTTGGAGGTTTCTAATGTACTTATGGAACGGAGTTGTTGTCCATCTGTGGACGATTACAGGATTGTAATATATAGGTCTAAATGAATAAGTATATGAATAATGAGGTGTGTGCACCTCATTAACAAAGCATTTGGTTCAAGACACACAGAGAGATGGTCACTACAGAAGGTGGCACGGAGTTGCCCAGTGCAATGTGTTTTTGTTTGTTTTGGGTTTTTTTTTTTTTTTTCAGTTTTGGCCAGGGCCGCACTTGAACCTGCCACCCCTGGTATATGGGATTGGCGCCCTACTCCTTGAGCCACAGGCACCATCCCTGTTTTTTTGGTTTTTGTGAAACAGTATCTCTGTCTGTCAACCAGGCTAGAGTCCAGTGATATCATCATAGCTCACTGCAACTTCAAACTCCTAGGCTCAAATGCTCCTTCTGCTTCAACCTTCCAAGTAGCTAGGAGTATAGGGGAGACAGCTACCAGGCCTGACTAACTTTTCTTTTTCTTTTTTTTTTTTTTGGTAGAGTTGGGGGGTCTCCCTCTTGCTCAAGCTGGTCTCAAACTTCTGGCCTCAAGCGATCCTCCTGCCTCAGCCTCCTAGAGCGTTAGCATTACAGGCCTGAGGCACCTCACCCAGCCACCACTGTGATATTGCTCAGGAACCGGACAGACACAATGGTAAACATGAGTAGTTTTGGGGAGCCCAGAGCCCGAGCCAGGGCTTCCAATCTGCACTCCCTGCTCCCTGACTCCCCAAGCTTCCTTCAAGCTGGGATGGAGACCAGGGAGCCTGGGTGCTCTCTGCCCTGCTCTGCTCTCTGCCCTGCTCTGCCTCTTGACCTGCACTCATCCTGCTGAGGGTTCTAACACGCACTTGAACCACAAAGCTGACACCCGGACCACTGTGAGGGCAGGTTCTTCATTTGTAGAAAGTAACAACTTGGGCTGGGCACAGTGTCTCACGCCTGTAATGCTAACACTCTGGGTGGCCAAGGCAGGTGGACTGCTTGAGCTCAGGAGTTCAAAACCACCCTGAGCAAGAACAAGCCCCATCTCTACTAAAATAGAAAACCTGTGGACTCTGTGGCAGGTGCCTGTAGTCAAAGCTACTCAGGAGGCAAGAGGATTGCTTGAGCCCAAGATTTTGAGGTTCCTATAAGCTGTGATGCCACAGCACTCTACCAACAGTGACAAAGTGAGACTCTGTCTCAATTAAAAAAGAAAAAGTAAACCACCTGGAATGGCACTCTGTGGATTTGCTGTATCTTCATGACACTGAGGAAGGATCAGGCTACAGCCCCACACATCCATGAAGCCGTGGAGAAAGTGCATCCCCAGACTCAGGGCCTCATGTGGCCGTGGGGCTGAAGGGAGCACACTCCGAGGTCCCTTCACAGGGCACAGCCACCCTGACAGCCTCCTTCTCAGCTCCCTCCTGAGGGACAAGCCCTCTTGAGCCTGTCCCTGCCTCTGTCCCCACACACTGGCTGAGCACCTCAGTCTGCACTGGGGAGTGTTTTCCCACAGACACCTCCAGAGGGCAGCACTCCACAGAGTCACCCCCAGACCCTCACCAGCATTTCCTGTTCAGACCCTGGGAAGAAGGGC